ACCACTGAGCTAAATCCCTGGCCTGGTAGGTGGTAATCCTTAAAGGTGAACATTTAAATTGGGTCATTTTGGGTCAGTATGTTTCATTTTCTCTGACCTTCTGTCTCTGCCTGTTTTTTTCTCTCTTTTTTTTTTTTTTTTTTTTTGGTTTTTGGTTTTTAGTGTTTGGTTCTTGTTTTTTTGGGTTTTTTGGTGTCCCCTACCACCACCACCAGAGATGAACTCAGGACTTTGCACTTGCCAGGCAGGCGTGGTGCCACTGAGTTACATCCCCACCCCTGGTTTTTGGTTTTTTGAGACAGTGTCTCACTATGTAATTCAGGCTGGCTTTGAACTCACTATGTAGTGCAGGCTGGCCTTGGACTTGAAGTTATCCTTCTGCCTCAGCCTCCTAAGTGCTGGGATTACAGCCATGTGTCACCACACCCAGCTGTTGTTTCTTTCTTTTAGAAAACGATGTCCTTAGAATTCCCTTTGTCAACCTCTGAGTATAGAAGTTACTTGGGATATTCTTTGAGAAGAGGCAGTTCTCAAGGTGGCCCCAGACACCACAGTTTACCACTGAGCTACCGCTGAGGCAGGCTTCTTCCTGAAGGGACCTGGCTGGGAAGTCCACCAAGTGCTTCTGGAATAGCGAGTAGCACGCAATGAGTGCTGTCCCAAAGGGGTTTCCTGGTGGCTACCATGTCACAGGAGGCTGCCAGCCTGACCTTGAAGCATAAAGTTGTGTTTGTAGAGTAGACGCCTGCTCCTGCTTCCTTCCTGTGCTTCCTCACTGCCAGATCTGTGGCTGATGCCCAGATTGACCAGACTACAGCCCAACAAGCAGAGCCACAGTGGGTCTGCCTTTGCCTCTCAGTCCTGTCGCCTTTCTAGTAGCTAGTGTTGGGCTAGGAATGTAGCTCAGTGGTAGAGTGCTTGCCTAGCATGCACAGGGTTCAGTTCCCACACCACGCAATAAGAGAATATCCAGTGTCATCTGTCCCGAATGAATATACAGTGTCCATTATTCCTGGTACAGACAAATAACCATGTGGCCAGGATCTCTCTTCTTGCTTGTGGGAATGACTCCTTCACCACTGTTTTCTTACAGGAGCTCCAACTCCTGACTATCTCTTGCTGCTTTCTGGTTCTTTGTTGTTGTCCCATGTGTTGTCGTCCCCCACCCCTGTGAGGATTGGACCCAGGGCCTGTGTGCTGAGCTACATCCCCAGCCCTTTATGTTTTTTGAGATAAGGTCTTGCTAAGTTGCCCAGGTAGCACTTGAACTTGCCATCCTCTTGCCTCCCTCAGTGCTAGGATTGTAGGCATGCACCACGCAGGTGGCTCTTTATATCTCTTGACAACCAGCAGCACTGGAGTCCTGAACAGTGTCGGGCTGCAGCCTCTACTCAGAGATGATATTGTTACATAGACAGATGGTTTTGATGTCCTCAGCCTTAGAGTACTTTTGCTTTGTGAGCTCTCTCTGCCTACAGTTCATTAAATGTAGCACTCATCTAGAGTGCCTTGGCTGGTTTCCACCACCTTCTCATTCTGTTTGTGCACTGGCTTGTGGAGGAGCCCAAATGCAGAAGTCTTCCTGGTTCATCTCAGTTTCACTGTTTGTCTTCTGTGGTCTGTGTCCTGCCATTTATCATTCTGCCTTCTCACCAAGCTAAGCTCCTTGCCTTGCCTGGGATGAGTGTGTCTTGTCTATCTGTGGGGTAGAGATGACCTGCAATACCAGGCAACTGTAGGATCTCAGCAGAGACACTGGGAGAGTAGTCACCTATTCTCAGGCACTGCTCTGGGAAGGATTTGTGTCTGGTTATATCAGAGTTCCCATGTGGCTTTGTACCTTGGCGGTTCTCAGTGGTTTTATGCTCCTGAAGGAATGAATGAATTTGTACCATTGATTGTGATCCGATCCAGAGCACATTTAATTTAGAGCCCAGATTGTTCTTTCAGTGACTTTTCTCAAGCTAAGAGTTGTTTCTTGACCTTACCTTGATATTGTCTTGCGTATCTCACTCACACGGTTCAGGGGCTTTTTGGCCCTCTCTGTTAAGGTAGACCTTTTGGGGAACTTGGCCTATATCTCTGCTCCAGATGGTTAGATTTGGGCCACGTGATTTCACTGTTGTTAGAGACCCTGCCAGGCGTTTTGTACAGCAGCACATTCTTTGTTATTTATTTGTAGCACTGGGGATGGAACCCAGGGCTTTGCACATGCTAAGCAAGCATGCTAGCCCAAGTCTGTGAGGCACTCTAAATTTTCCGTCTTATTAATGCTTCACTGGGGGCAGGGAGATCATCTTCTAATTCTAGCTCTTTGAGGGAGGAGGAGTACAGGAGCCAAGTTCAGTTGCTAAGTGTGTTGGAAACAGAAGGCTCCTTAAATACCAGATGCTCAGGGCCATGGAAGGCTGGGCACCAGGACAGCAAGTGGCCTAGTGTAGTTACATGGTGCTTTACAGCACGAGCACCTCAGTCAGTGCAGGTTCAGTTGGCTGGAGCCAGGCAGGTACTGGGAGTTACTGTCTTCACTTAGGAATTCATCTGAATGAAATCATGTTGTATTGGAAATAATTGTAGATACCATTGCTCTTTCACTTTTTGTAGGATATGGAACTTGGAACTCTGGGACAAACAGAGGCAAGTATTATTCCCATGACCACTCTCCTCTTCCTTGGGATTGAACCAGTTGTTTCTCTGCCACTGCTCTGCTTGGCCAAGGCGAGCTTTGGGTGTCCCTGGGGCCAGCTGCTCATCCCAGAAGGTCCTCATTGGAATGGCTTGGCCCACTCGGCCTTGGGTGGCTAGAGTCTCCAGCTCTTCTCCGTGACAGAGGGCACCTTTCTCTGTGTTTGTATCTGCCTGCCGCCACCTCCTTTCTCCCTGCCCCCACCATCTCTGTGTCTCTGTCTCCCTCACTGCAGGCTACGAGAACTATGGCTATGGCTATGGCTATGGCCAGGATAACACCACCAACTATGGGTATGGTATGGCCACTTCAAACTCTTGGGAAATGCCTAGCTCTGACACAAATGCAAACCCTAGTGCCTCGGGTAGCACCAGTGCCGATTCCGTTTTATCCAGAATTAACCAGCGCATAGATATGGTGCCACACTTGGAGACTGACATGATGCAAGGAGGCATGTATGGCTCAGGTGGAGAAAGGTGAGTGGGGCTGCCTGCAGCTGGGGTTCTGCAGGGGTGCCATCTTCTGAACTACTGGCGTGACTGCTTCTTTCCTCCTGGCTCTGTGCTGCCAGGCTTCCAGGACCTTCTGCTACGTCCTCTCATCTGTGTCATCCATTCCCTCCAGCCTCATGACCCACTCTCCCTGCTTATAGGGCACAAGAAGCTCAGATTGGGCTGGCTTCATGTGCACAGGATGGCTCCTCAGGAGCAGAGGGTTCAGCAGCCCTTCCCTTCAGGACAGCCATTCTTGTGTTAAGTCAGGACTTTGTAACCTGTGTGGAGTCAGGGCAGGATAGATTAGGTTGGGCATGAAGGGCAGGATGAGCCCTTGGAGCTGACTACTATGAGCTAGGACATCCCTGTGCAAGAGACAGGGCAGATGTGAACCTTTCCTAACCACTTTCCAGGCCCTATCAATGTGGGTCTCTTGAAAATATACCTGTGAGGAACTCCTGCAGTGCTAGTTTTGGGAATGGAGAAACTGAGTTGCATGGAGGTCACCCTTTGCCTGAAAGGACCCAGAGCATAAGCGGTGGGCACCTGGGCTTCCACCTAGATGTGCTCCACTGCAGAGCATGCGCTGTGGGCACTGTCGTTGACTGACTTGGTGCTGGTCCAGGGATGCTTGTACCCCATTTTGGAGAGGAGAGTGCAAGGAGGGACCTTTGCCCTTTGAGACACACAGGGTGTGGGCCTTGCAGGTGTAGGCTGAAGCCACAGTTAAACTCTTAGCTTTCTCACGCACACACAGCCTGGCCTCCTCAGCTGCTGTGTAGGGTTGGAGTTCTTTTTTTGGCTCCTTAGCAGGCTCACAAGGTCTCCCAAGAAATGCTCCTCCTTTTGTCTCTCTTCTGTTGGATGGTGAGGGTTTAGTGGTTTCCCCCAGCATTGAGGGATGAGACCAGTGCAGTGTTTGTCATAGGTGTCATCTGGCTCAATAGAGAAGTGTTCACTGTGCTGGGGTGCTCGGTTCTGGCACCAAGGGGCAGATGTGGGTGTTTCGGTTACCACAGAAGGTGCACAGTTCCCAAGGATCTGCAAGTAGCCTTCCTGCCCTTATAAAGATCCAGAGACTCACTGGGTTAGAGCCTCCCCACCAGATGTCAGTCTATACCTGTGTTCAGGTGTGGGCAGTGGGAAGTTCAACCGAGAGGCCCTTCCTGTTTCTAGAACTCTGCTCCTGAGAAGCCAGAACCTTTTTACTGCCATTTCTGAACTTTGATCCTCCCTGACAGGGCAGGGCGGGTGTTGGTTTGTGCTTCCTGTCTCAAGGCTGGAAGGCTAAGAGGAAAGCAGGAGCAGCCTGCTTGGCCAAAGGCTGCCTGGACTCTGAGGGGCTCTGCCTGATGCTTCCCACATGTTCCTGCAGATATGACTCCTACGAGGCCTGTGACTCGAGGGCCGTCCTGAGTGAGCGTGACCTGTACCGGTCGGGCTATGACTACGGCGAGCTTGATCCTGAAATGGAAATGGCCTATGAGGGCCAATACGATGCCTACCGTGACCAGTTCCGCATGCGTGGAGGCGACACCTTTGGTCCCAGGGCTCAGGGCTGGGCCCGGGATGCCCGGAGTGGCCGGCCGATGGCCTCGGGCTATGGGCGCATGTGGGAAGACCCCATGGGGGCCCGGGGCCAGTGCATGCCTGGTGCCTCCCGGCTGCCTTCCCTCTTCTCCCAGAACATCATCCCTGAGTACGGCATGTTCCAGGGCATGCGTGGCGGGGCCGCCTTCCCAGGCAGCTCCCGCTTTGGCTTTGGATTTGGCAATGGCATGAAGCAGATGAGGAGGACCTGGAAGACTTGGACCACAGCTGACTTCCGGGTGAGTGGGGCGGCCTGCCTCCCCAGGCACCCAGCTGGGGTGGAACCACCCCTATTACCTGGTTGCCTCTTCCTTTTTTTCTTTCTTTTTTTTGGTACTGGGGATCAAACTCAGGACCTTGCACTTGCGAGGCAGGCGGCAGAACCACTGAGCTAAATCCCTGGTCCTGGTTCCCTCTTTCTGACCCAGACCAAAAAGAAAAAGAGGAAACAGAGTGGCAGTCCTGATGAGCCAGACAGCAAAGCTACCAGGACGGACTGCTCAGACAATAGTGATTCAGACAATGGTGAGCTGGGTGGCCTGGGCCCTGCCTCCTGCCCCTTTACCCTCTGCCCTAGTGGGTTCCTGAGCTGAGCTTATGACCTTCCCCTTTCAGATGATGGCACAGAGGGGGAAGCTGCAGATGGCACCGAATGCACTGAGGCTATGGAGAAGGGCTCCAGAGCAGTAAGTGGCCCCTAGCCTGGATTTTGTTCTCTGCAAGTGGGGCCTGTGAAGACCCACCTGGGATGAAGAGCAGGGCTCACCACAGGAGTCACAGGCAGTGTTGTGTCTTGTGTGCATGGGTGGCTAGCAGTAGGGCATCAGTGTGATCTGGTAAAAAGCTAACCAGCAGCGTGGTTTCTTTGTGGGAAAATAGTGGGACAAACCCCCTGGGCACGAGTGGGTGAGAGGATGGGAGGCCCCTGGTCCTAGCCCTTGTCATTTAGAACCATTATAAATAACTGCATGCCTTTTAAAATTGTGTGTTAGGAAGGAGAGGACGAGGAGGGAAAGGAGGATGGGAGAGAAGAAGGCAAGGAAGATTCAGAGAAGGGTGAGTCTTCTGGGGGGCCCTTAGTGCCAGGTGGCTCTTTCAGGTCCTCAAGTGGGAGGGATCCAGCTCGTGAGGCGGGTATAAGTGGACAGGGGCTCTTCCTCCCCCGCCCCTTCCCACCCTGGCCCTGTGCTTCCCTGGCGGAGGCCATGGATGGCGATCACTCCTGCCTAGCACGTTGGTTTTGCCTTCAGGTGGAGGCAGCAAGGAAAAGTGTGGGGGAACTCAGGCAAACCCCCTGCCCTTGGTCCCTTGGTAACATGCAGTTCCGAGTCCTCAGTGGCTGGTGTCTGAGCTGGGACCCTTGGTGCAGTTTTTACGGCTCTGGTTTGCGTGTCCTCTCCCTTAGCGCCTCTCCAGCCCCTGTTGGGAGTCCGTGTCCCCCCACCTGAGTGATGAGCGCCAGCAGGTATCTAACAGTAAATCCAGCCTCAGCCCACTGTTACCGCGGTGCCCGGTTGGGGGTGGGCAGGGCCATGTGAGCAGCCTCCCTGCATCCTGCCACCTGGCCCCTCTCAACACGTGCCAGTGTCTGTCCCCTAACGACACAGCCTCTCTTCACCTTGCAGCCTCCCCATGGCCCACTCTACAGACAGTGAAGGTGTTCTGGAGAGCAGAGGGGTTAATGGGTGTACCCCCACTCCTGGAGCCTAGGACAAACCCACTTAATGCCCAGCCCAGGGCACCCAGCCCTGCTCATGGCCAGAGGCCTCAAGCGGACAGCTGCTCTCAGATGGACTCTCTGGAGTGCACAGCGGGTGATGCAGCCAGAGGCCACAGGGCCTGCCCTATCCTGGCAGAGCCAATTGGCTGACTTGCTTCTCTCTTCCCACAGGGGCCCTGACCATCCAGGATGACAGCAGCCAGGCCAAAGGCAAATTGCTGGCAAACAAGAAGAGCCAAGATAAGCAGAAAAAGCGGCAGCGAGACCGCATGGTGGAAAGGTAACCAGCTTCCCTCCATCCCTGTGTCTCTGCCTCACTCTGGGGCTGCCGCCAGGAGAGCAGGGCCATAGCTCTGCCATCTCGCCGCCCTCTGGCCTCCCTCGGGAGCCACCACCTGCTCAGCTGTGCATGGACCCTGCTTCCCGCCAGGCCCAGCTCCCAAGGCCTGATTCGTCCCCTCCCCCTCTGTGGCCGCCTGGCGACCGCTGGCATCTGTGGCCTGAGACTTGACACTGCTCGGCACTGTTGCCCAGAAGCTCCGTCGCTAGATCACTCGGTGCACAAGCTCCGAGCAAGGTGCACTGGGGGCCCGATGCCCCTGAGGGAGGGGGCCAGCTCATCAGAGACTCAAGGTCCAAGGCGCCTGTGCCACCCCAGCTAGCTGCCAAGAGGCCACCGCCTTGCCCAGGAGAGATGGCAGCACCTGTGGGCTGTGGCAGCCTCGGGCCTGCCCTCTGCCCTGCCCGCCGGCCGTGTCAGGCCAGGCCTCTCTGCGGCTGAGCCCTTCACGCCCCTTGGTCGGGTCTGTCTGCCCTCAGGGCTCCCGCACTGGCGCTTGCCTCCTCCTCCGCCTCAGACTCTTGCTCTTGCTGGACCTTCCTCAGCCTCGCCGGCGCCCGGCCCCTGGGCTCTCCAGACAAAGCTGACCCCGTGGCCCAGATAAGGACGTCCGGCAGAGGTAGGGACCTGCCCCAAGGCCTCGGTGGCGGCTGGCCTCCTCCGCCCCTTGCCACGGCGGCCTGCTCCAGCCCAGGCCCCAGACCCCAGGCTTCTACTGTGGACGCCAGGCCCAGACAGAGCACCTCGCCCGGTGACTCCAGGCTGCCCTCTGGCAGGCCAGGTGGGCGCCCTCCTTCCAGCTCAGACTGGTCTCTTCTCGGAAGAGGAAGATGAGGCAGCAGGTGCCCAGGCCTGCTTGCCACCCATCCCTCCCGACACCACCCCCAAGCATTCTGAGCAGAGGATGGGCTGGGGCTTTGAATCCCCCAGGCCCCAGAAGGAAGATGCAGCACCTTTTTGGGCCCTGCCTCGGGACTGCGTACTCCACTCTGCGCCTCAGGGCCACCTGGCTCACGCCAGGGCATCCTTCCTTCCGGTCCCCAGCTGGGCCAAGTACACATGCTCCTGCCCAGCCTTGGTAGAGAGGCCCACCGGCAACCTTCCAGCGACTCCTTGCCTGTTGCAGCAGCTGCTGCCTCAGGCTTCGGCCTCCAGTCTGGGAAGGAAGAGCTCCTCCCCTGTCCCCTTCGTTGCAGCAACCACAGCCTGCAGACTTTCTGTCCCCTTCTGCTCCCAGCCCTCCTGGTCCCAGCCTGCCCTCTGCTGGGACTATACTTCAGAGGCCTGGGAGCAAGGCCTGTTTTAGGGCCTGCAGCTGGGTTGGGTGAGGCGGCAGCACCACTTTCCAGGACCCTGGCAGCCTTAGCTGCCTGTTTCTCTCCTGTGGCAGGATCCAGTTTGTGTGTTCTCTGTGTAAATACCGGACCTTCTATGAGGATGAGATGGCCAGCCACCTTGACAGCAAGTTCCATAAGGAACACTTTAAGTATGTAGGCACCAAGCTTCCAAAGCAGACGGCTGACTTCCTGCAGGTGAGCCTCAAGAGTGGCATGGCTGTTCTGGGTTGAGGCCCTTGGGGACACGGTGCAGCCCACATGAGCCTCCATGTCTCGGGCAGGATTATGTCACCAACAAGACCAAGAAGACAGAGGAACTCCGGAAAACCGTGGAGGATCTTGATGGTCTGATACAGCAGATCTACAGAGACCAGGATCTGACCCAAGGTGAGGGCTTCCACCCCATCTCCCCCCAGGCAGGGCCTCAGCCTGCCCTCCACTCCTCAGGGCACATTCAGGAGCTGCTCTCGTTTTTTTCCTAACCTCTGGGTATGTCTTAGGCATCTGGGACCATGGTGACTCCTTCTTCCCCCATCCACAGAAATTGCCATGGAGCATTTTGTGAAGAAGGTGGAGGCGGCCCACTGTGCAGCCTGTGACCTCTTCATTCCTATGCAGTTTGGGATTATCCAGAAGCACCTCAAGACTATGGATCACAACCGGAATCGCAGGGTGAGTGGCTACCAGGACCCATGGGGAGGTCCTGCAGTTGTCACCTTTGGCTGCCCAGGAGACACTGCAGGAGCAGGAGGGGCAGTGATGTGAGTCTTCCCAGCCCAGTGCAGTCAGGATGGCCACAGAGAGGGGCCTGGGAGAAAGTGACATTGAGCTGGACCTCCAGGAGCATGTGCCACAGGATAGGGGGACTTCCATGTGTGCAGGAGCCAGTGGACAGATGAGTTTCAGAAAACAGAAGTAGACTAAAAAGCTGGGCATGATGGCATACACCTGTAATCCCAGCACTCAGGAGGCTGAGGCAGGAAAATCACTTGGGCTATATAGTAAGGCCAGCCTGAATTACATAGCGAGACCCTGTCTCAAAAAACCAAAAATAGGGCCGGGGGTTTAGCTCGGTGGTTCCACTGCCTGCTTCGCATTCGCAAGGTCCCGAGTTCGATCCCCAGTACCAAAAAAAAAAAGAGTAAGAAAAATTGGGCTGGGGATTTAGCTCAGTGCTTCTGCCGCCTGCCTTGCAAGTTTGAGGATCCAAGTTCGATCCCCAGTACCAAACCCCCCGCCCCCCAAAAACAACAAAAAATAGGGCCAGGTATGGTGGTGCATGCCTGTAATTCCAGAACTGTGAGGCTGAGGCCGGAGGATTGCAGTGAGTTCGAGGCCAGCCCCTGGTCTACATAGCAAGATCTTGTCTCCAAAAAAAGAAAAAGTAAATTTGAAAAAAAAAAGAAAACAGAGGTAGGCGATGCAGGTGTTGGTGGAGGAGGGGTTGGACTTTAGATGTTGGTTGGTGAGGGCCATACCGAGGGCTCCAGGCTTGTTCCTGTAAGCGACAGTCATCAAGCGAGCAGGATTAGAGTTGCCATTGACCTAGAGCCTTTGCCACCTGCTGTGGAGAGAGGTGGGGGCCACTGATGGCTGCTGCAGTCTCAGAATAGCAGAGCCTCCACCTTGAGAATGGAGAGGAGGCGGCTGTGTAAGGAAGGGAACAGGAGGTGAGTGACCAGGAACTGGGGTAGCTTTTCAGATTTGGAACCAAGTGGATGGTGGTGATGCTGAGACCATGGGCAGGAGTAGTCTGGGGTGCAGGGAAGGAAGCATGCCTGGCAAGAAAATGAGTGTGTTCTGTCTTGTTTTCTAGCATGTTCTTGGTGTCCAGCACTGAGGCCATAGTGGCTATTTTTTGGTTAAACAGGTGCCATGTTGGGTTGGAGGCAGCTCTTAGACACTGGGCAAGGTGGAGGGCTGGGACCCAGTCTGGGCTAAAGAGAGGAGAAGGCCTGTGGGATGCTGTGCACCCAAGCAAGATGAGAGCTTCTCTCAAGCTTCTCTCATGCCATCACAACTGAGCTTTCTCAGGGCAGTGATATCAGTGAGGTGGGGGTG